TGCATTCACAGATAACTTATATTACAAATGATCAGAGCAATATGAATTGGATAAATATAGGATGAAAATCAGTTTTAGCAGTCGTTTCAACGATTAAAATTACTACAATGAAACAACCAAAGCAGCACAACGATAAGATCACTACAATGAAATGAACCAAAAAAGTACAACTATTAACTAAGGTCACCATGTATGTCTTGCAGCTCGACGGGAGTATGCCAACTTCATTGCGAAATACACGATCACTCCTAAGTCAGGAAAACTTAGCTGCACACTCTGCAACTATAAATTGATATTTATTTCTTTATTTGACAATACTGATTCGCAATATGTTGATGTAACTGACATATAAATGACATTATTTACAAATGCTAGCAAGTCCAGAGACTTCTTCTATTGATTGTTTTTAAAATTTTCTCTCTATGAACGTTAGATGCAATAAGAAAACTTAACTGAATTAGCTGAACAAAGTTTTGACGTGCCTAATAACAGTAAATGAAATGAAAAGAACGAGAGGACGAAAACAAAAAGAAAATGAGTAAAAAGAACTGAAAAGTAAACGAACTGGAACCGACAATTTTTGAATATTTTGTTTAAACATTATGTTCTCTGAACATGTCAATACACTGAATGCCAATCAATGGACAAAACAACGTTCTTTAAAATCATCTGAAACTGCATGTTCATACATTACGCTGGACTACTGTAGATATCTGCATGTGACGTAAAATAAATAAATTACAGTCATGTAAAACTGTTAAGAGAATAATTCTGTTTTTTTCTACGCAAAGAGCATACTGTAAAATCCCGGCACTCTTTGGGTACTCTCGGAATCTGTAAAATCCCGGCACTCTTTGGGTACTCTCGGAATGATATCAAGAACGACCTGGATGAGGTTTGCGAATGTGTTTTGCAAATTGGTCTGGAATCTATGGAAAATTACTCACGTTCTGGAAGACTGCTGTCTGCAATTGGTGAGTGGGAAAACTGCAGCTGGGATTGGGGAAAATGGCGATGTTCGATACACAGAGGAAGACATTTCTATTAATTCATCGGCTAATTTTAATATATTAAAAATCACCCGAAGCTCTTAAAGTTGTGCACGATGTGTCCCGCATTTATCAACGGCGGATAAAAAAAAGATTGAAATCGCTAAACCGCTACTAGCCAAATACGAAACGCGTGACCAGAGACGTTTCAATGAGATTGTAATAGGTGATGAAACGAATTTACTTTTTATACCCGATATCACAAAAAATAGTTAAGTTTGGATAGAAAAACGAGCATAGACCACAAATTGTTTGACCAAAGTCGAACGGTCAAGTTTTATACGCATTATTTTTCTGTGCAAAAAGCCCGTCATTCAGGTATCTATGGTTGACTACCAGTGTCAATGGAGATTTTTATGCCATCAAAGTTGAGCAAGACTGATGACTGAGGACCATCTTGATCAATACAGTAGTCAAACTAAATCGATCAAGCCGGACAAAGAATCTAAAGAGCAAGATGTGTGTGTGTGTGTGTGTGTGTGTGTGATTTTTTATGGAGTTTTAACAAGTTTGTCAGTCATATCGCTATGGTGTCTGCAGTGCGTCAGGATATAGTGATGTCTAGCACTGGGACATCATGCCGCAGACATATTACATGATGTTCTCACCAATTCAGTCACATTATCCTGACACCAGGCTGGCTAGTTAAAACACTAACATCTTAATCCTGAGTGTCAAGCAAGTCTAGTAACATTTTCATAAGTCTTTGGTGTGACTCGGCTGGGGTTCAAACTCGCTTTTTAGGCGGACTCTAAACACTAAGGCGACTGGATCGGTCTAACTAGAATAATTCACGGGCGTAGGATATAGATGTGCAATTTGTAATTGGATAGTAAACTTGGTCTGCTTCAATCTTAGAAGATTGGTGTGGAAAATTGTTTTATCAGTAGCTCGGCTTCACAAATAAATAAACGAAGGAGCATTATTGGCGACTCGTTTTTATACTACTACTACTACTACTTCTACCTCGGTACAATTAAATTCTTAAGACCACAACAGTTAGGGCATAGTTTTTAACGGAATGGTATGAAATGAATCAATAAAATAGAAGTAAAGAAATTTAATTGAGTTTGCAATGACCAAAGCATATCAATATATAGTTAAACCATTATATATTTTACGTTGGAATGATGAGAACTTTTTTTGCGACTCAGTACACCACTGTTTGTTATTTCCGGTCAAGATAACTACTATACTTGGTGGATTAAAAGGACTGAATTTTCTGTCATGCCTACCATATTTTGAAACGTAAACAGCAAGATAATTTACATCGTAAACAACCATATGTATGTTTTAATTCTGAAATCTGGACATTTTCAACCAATTTTTTAAAAACATTTGTTTTTGTTTTTTTTGCTATCGTCTCGTACTTTTTATCATATTTAACGCTCTCCAACCTTATGTTCCAACGACAATTACCGATGTCCAAAAGGCAGTTATCTTTGCACCTGTGTTCAGACTTGAATTTGTGGAGTCTGGATAGCTAACAGTTACCTTTGCAGCTGCGTTCTAACGTTAATGAGCGAAGTTCAAAAGGTAAGCAGTTGGCGATTGCAATCTGGTATAATCAATCTTAAAGTCTGTTTTAGTCATTTACGTTTAAATATTAGGAAAATTCATTGAAACGCACAATGGGAGGGCGATTAAAAAGAAACTAAATAACACCCCATTACTCTGCCTCGTGGTCTATTTCCAAATCAATCAATCCGGCGAGGGACCTGTGGGACGAATCAACAGGATTGATGGGGTTGTGCGTTTCAAGTACATAATTCTAATGCTGTAACAGTACTTAAAACGTACTGTAAAAACTGTTCTGGTTGTTTCGCGCTCTTTTTTTTTTTGGGGGGGGGGGGGGTAAGGGTCAACTAGGAGGGGAGTCCACCTCGTCCCCACTCCCGCAAATTCGTTTCTGTAATGTTGAAGATAAATAAGAAACAAATATGTCAACCTATTGACTGGCCGTCGTTTTTCTAGACCTCACAAAATTGTCAGCGTTGGATCAGGAAAACAAATACACACTCTACTTCTGCGCTAGGTGCAAGCCCAGTAAATCGAGAAATAATAACTACCGAAAATCAGTGTAATCATCTTCCAGCTTGAAATCATACTACTGTAAGTATCTTAATGTCGCCACAATTTCCAAAATTTTAAATTCACTTTCCTTTAAAAAATATTATCCTTCTATAAAGCACCAGCTCAAAAGATCTTTAATATTATATTTCAATAGACTGCAAACAAATTCAACTCAATCAAATGAATATTTGATCAAATGGAACCGATCTGAAGTACGCTCTGACGAATCACGGATAAGTCAGTATTGATATGGCTGAAAATTGGCTCTCGTTTTTGGGACGTATTCTTAACCAGGTTATTAATTCAAACACAGTCTTCAGTGAAAATGTATAGCTTGTTTTAAAGTTTTGTCATTTGCCTCACTGGTTTTATATAGTTTTTGGGAATACGGATTTTTTCTACACATAGTTTATTAGTTCTCAGAGAGAGAGAGAGAGAGAGAGAGAGAGAGAGAGAGAGAGAGAGAGAGAGAGAGAGAGAGAGAGATTATTTTCTCCATGTTATGAAGAGTTCAATCAGCGTGTGTAGTGTGATTTGGATCAATTGTATAATTGGAGTGTGAGATTCAGTGTATTTGTTTTACATACATACATACATGCATGCATGCATGCATGCATGCATGCATGCATGCATGCATACATACATACATACATACATACATACATACATACATACATACATACATACATACATACATACATACATACATACATACATACATACATACATACATACGCACACCACTAACAAAATCCAAATGACTTGTGTCTCAGTTCGAAATGTATCAAGTTTAAATTCATAGGAGTGAATAATATTTATGGTCAAATGCTCGTGTATACCATACTTTCGTGACTTTTCACCGCATGTGATTTCGTAATCACTTATTTATAGCCTTATTATGTGACATCATTTACTGATATAAAAAAAAGTTTAGTGAAAATATCGTCAAACTCTAAATGTTTCTCTTGTTACTTTCCCATACTGCATACGGGATCACACTACTCCCAATTAGGTTCTGAAGTCTATATAACAACGAGTCTTCGATTAGTCTACATTTCAAACCACATTCATGCGTCTATTGGACTTTGCATTTAATAGTACATTACAGTTATAATTTTTAACAAGAAAGGGGCTTTGAAGGATGAAGGTATCTATAAACTCATTTAGATCAAGTTTTGTGATTAATCTCTTAATGTCCGAAATAAAACCAGTTTGGTTATGTTGACTCTTGGTGGTTTTTTATACTTAAAAAAAGGCGGAGTAGAAAAATAAACATTGTTTTGCAAGAATAGGCTGCAGAGTATCTACACAAGGGCAAAACAATTTATATTTCATGACAACTTCAATGGGTAAAACGCCCTATGAACTAGGCGTAAGGTCAATTCGTGAATACCTAGACATTCCCTGCATGTGCATAATCCAAAAAACGATGACTCGCTCTTTAATATAAGTACGTTCTGTGGTTTGGGGCTACAACAGATTTCACAACAATACCACAATGCACCGGGTAAAGCAATAGTTTGATACAAAATCGTAGTTGTGACTGGATTAAAACTACATTCACTAACTCTAGTATCAATAATATAAAAATGCAAGTTTATCTTGAGCCTGATTTATCCTAGTATCACTTTCAATGTACTTAGATGCATTCACGACTAAATGTTTACATGCCTATTTCTTGAATAATCTCAGATCCCAAATACAAATGTATTTGCCTACTTTTGTAGTCAAATAAACTTCCATTAAAATGCAATAATATTACTTCTTTAGAATTTTATCTGGATCCCAACTTTATCAAGTACTCAAAACTGAATCCCTCTTAAAGAGTACTCAAAACTGAACCCACACTTTATAGGGTCCTTCAAACCTATCTTCAACCACTCCGGTGGCCTATTTGTTAGAGCGTTCGCCTCCAAAGCGGGAGGTCGTGGGTTCTATCCCCGGCCGAGTCATACCAAAGTCTTACAAGTGGTACTTGCTTAGCGCTCAGGATTACGAGGCTAGTGTTAGGACTGATCGGATTGTTGTCAGGATAAGGTGACTACATGTCTGCAGCATGATGCCCCAGTGCTAGACATCACTATAAACGGCAGTCATCGTAGCGCTAGTACTGAAAAAAAAATTGTTAAAGCTACGTTAAAATCCAAATCACACACAAACCTATCTTCATTAAGTGATCCATGCCTAATTTTGGGTCACACTGCTACAAGAGACGAAAAATACAAAGCCTAATTGCATGTTGTTAAAACATCAAGCATTGATAAATAGAACCTAAGAGTCAAGAGGACAATACCTCACCTAAGCGCGTGCTTTTTAACACCGGTAATTTGAAAGAAATTCTTCATGAAAGGATTACTCTGCTTGTATAGTTTTCCAGAAAGGCTTTAAAAAGTGTTTGAAGTTTGAAACATGATGTATATTTTTGCTTGCAATGAATTATGCACTAACGATTTTGTTATTCAGCCAATTTATCAACTCCCCGTTGTTATGGATACAGGAATGAAGAAACTCCAACTAACTATCAAATGTCCACAAATATTCTTGTCGTATCAACGAGTCAACTCCCCCCCCCACAACTGAACTATAAACGATTGAAGTTCAAATTACTAATTGGAAGTAGTAATAACAAGATTTTCAAGATGGCACTATCTTCCTTCAAAACCTTAGACATCATACGAAGTTTCTTTTATGAAAACCCCACGTTGAAATGACCATACGTTCACGAGTTCTAGTGATAAGATGTTCAAGATGGCGACTGTTGTAGCCATACTGGATGTCCAAGCACAGCCAATTTCATTCAGGACCAATTTGACCATATTTGTGTGTGTGTGTGTGTGTGTGTGTGTGTGTGTGTGTGTGTGTGTGTGTGTGTGTGTGTACAGCATAATGGAAATCGTCCAAGTAGTTAAGGAGTAATAGCGATAACAAAACTGCGCTAACGGACGGACGACGGACATCACATAAACTCTTCTGGTCATGGACCAGTAGAGCAAAAACCTCAGTTAACTGAAATGCCAATGGTTAATTAGGTCTCAAAAAGGGAGAAAGTTACAAATCCATCGCTTAATCGCCTCAAACTTAATTTCATCGTAGGTAAGAATAGATAACAGTAACACTACTGAACAATAATCCAGACTAAATGTGGAGGTTAAAATTACCATTGTATTTTTTTTTTGTTCTCTAAACGTGCCTGTCGTCCTATTTTTCAATTTATTTTCAGTTTTTATTTGCGATGGGCCCAACCCGGAATCTGTGTTATTCGAATTGTCTGTGCTATCTCGTTGATAGATAATTTCTAGTTTGGAAGCAGAAATCTATTTTGTTGATGATTACACCTCTCACTTAAGTGTATATAAATTCTGATGCATAAATCGTATGTTAACTATTCAATAGTCGTTTTTTGAACATTGAGAGATCTAGTTATATTTTAACTTTGCTTGGATAATTTAGACGATTTCATTATCGCATGTTTGACAGACATTAAAAACATTTTCATTTCTAATGATATAAAATTTAATGATCCAATGAAGTCAGAAGATTATGACTCATTACATTATCGATATTGTACAAAATAATTATAGTGAATAAAGACAACATGTACCTTAATGTGTTCTTTTTTATGTGTATTCATAAACAGAAACGGTAAGCTTACCAGACTATTCTTTGTAAAATTACTTTACTGGAGTATATTGGGTTACAATAAATATGAAGTTTGTTTTAAAGATTTCTGTACTATTTTTGACGTGCATTGCTGTTGTTTTTTTTTGTTTTTGTTTTTTTTTTTGTGCTACTGGACATTTAATTTTAATTAAATGGACTGTTTATATATATATATATATATATATATATATATATATATATATATATATATATATATATATATATATATATATATATATATATATATATATATATCGTTTCATGTTCCTTCCCGGATATATAATTATCAACAAATGTCCACTGGTTAATTACAGATGCAATTAAACGTTGTGCTTTCAGCCGTCGTTATTTAACAATGGGATGGTAAATTGCCTCTCACGCTATCTGCCTTTGTCTTTCTGGTAAAATATTTTCAGTTAATGCAAAACAAATAAATAAGAGAAAATCAAATAGACTTCTCAGCACCCTACCCCCAAAAAATATATTTAAAAATGCGTTTAAAATGAATGAAACTAATAAATCCGTTAAAAAAAATATGCTGAAAAACTTCCTTACGTCACTGAAAAGGGCGGGTTAAAGTGGGAAAGGACTACACAAATTAGTTCGTTCTTAGTACAAATCGTTAGTTAAAAAAAAACAACAGAAAAATATGCCAACGAATTCCTTAATCATGTAGCATGATGTCGCACCCAGTCACATTATACTGACATCAGACCGATCGGTCTTAACACTATTCTCTTAATGCTGAGCGCCGAACGAGGGAGCGTAACCTCTCTCCGATAACGATTACCAAAGCACTATAGAAATGGAGGACACGATCACATATAACCCACACATCCTAACCATGATTGAATTTTACTAATCATGCGAGGACTAGTGTACACATGGCTATTACAATATTATTAATAATTACAATCTGTTGTTTCTGTTTACAATTAAGTCACAAGAATCTATTTTGGTAAATCAATTAATCTCTTAATTAATCTATTAATTAATTAATTAATTAATTGCTCTATAATATGATTGTCCATATTCATCGCTTTTATTCTTTTATGTACATTAAATTAATATTGGTTCCTTGACCTTTGTCCGTGATTGAGGACATAGTGTGTCCACCAGTCTATTTTCGTGTTTGGTTTTTCTGATTTTTTTTCTTCATGATTCTAAAAAGTAAACAAAATGTTTACTTAAATTTAGTTCAAGACTTTGTTGATGAGTCTGATGGAATTTTCGCCATTAGAAATGGCCAGTTTCTGGAACATTCTGTTGCGTGATGGGTCAGGTGGTGATAGTTTGTACATAAAAAGAGGTTATGTAAACAATTATTTATTCCGGTTTTATAATCTGCTTGTGGAATCACTTATAGTTGTGCTCAGATATAATTTGAGAAGAATTTTTTAAAATTAGATATTTAAATTACAATGTTCTCATTCGCTTTTTAGACTAAAGTACTACTTTTCGGGATTAATGAAAACATTCAAAGGCATTCTGGATTATATCGTTGTGGTAGATCAGGTCATTAAAGACTTCTGCTACATCAGAACATTTAAATTATTGGAATTCGTTCGGAACATTCTGTACTTTTGATCGTCCGACTGAACATTTAAAATTATTTGGGATTTAATCCATAATCATAATATCTTTTTTTCACTTTGTATCCAAGGTAAATAAATTATCCGTTGATCTTAATAGCCTTGTTCGTTTGATTCCTACAGTTATATACATACCAAAGTGTAGTAACATATTCATCGTCATTGCTTGTTTTTATAGTACATTCGATTTAATACAAAGGATGTTTATTTTAGTTGTTAATGCTTGAAGTTTTGGTGAATAAACTTCACGTTTTTGTGTTCTGTTCTAGCTGGCTGAGCGGTGTTGAAGAGCGCAGTGGATTAGCACGCCCCCTATGATGAGGACAGAAAACTTTGTACAATGTGCTGCTATTCGTCTACTGAGTATCTGAATCAGGGTATAAAATACTTTTTAAAAAAATAATTAATACTGCCCTTGAATATCATAAAACCTAGTCGAGTAGTGAGATATGATAATTTATTTCCGTATCTTGCTTACTTTCCATCATATCAATGGGTTACTTCCTGTAATGAACGCGTTGTTCAGAGTTTTTGACCGTAATGGTGCAAATATAGGTTAATTCGACGGATTGGATTCATGAGTTGGTCGTCTGAGAGTGATGCTTTGGTACGTTACTGTTTTTTTTTTAATGGATCTGCGTAGATTTTTCAGTCTTCTTACGATTCGGAAGCGATAAAAGACACGTGAGAAAAGTCGAATCGAGAGGGTTGTGGTCACAGTTGCATTCCTTATGTTAATTTATAATACAATTAAGGTAATTTCATGTTGTCAGAAATTTCGTCGTGCTTTATTGACAAAAATGGAGATTCTTGTGATTACAGGAAGTAGCCCGTTTCTACTAGTTTTAACCCTGCAGTAAATATGCGTTAGGGTCTAATAATCATTCCGAACACAGCGCAAAATCTGTTCTCTTTTTTAATACTAGGCTCTAATATTTGAATGTGATGACGTCATCAATCATTATTTGTACTATCATAACTTTAACTACATATTTCTATTCTGGAAAATGATACAAAAATTATTAAATGATGCAATCTGAAATATAAAAAAAACCCACTATATCTTGTAAAATTAGTTTCATGACGTTATTTAGCCCGTGGTAGAACAGGCTACTTCCTGTAATGATCTGAAGAGCTGACATCATTCACGATGTCTTCTATCCCGGTTCCACAAACGCTTTCTTCTGGTTGAAGAGATTCCATAGTTTTATGTATATCCTTAATTAACAAAGATTACTGACAGTTTGCATGACTTTCCAAATTACATTTCACCTTCAAATTGCTTCTTTGTTGAATTGGATTTAAATCGATATTTTTTATAATGATTGTACAAAATGAGTTATCCTAATACCTTCTACTGATATAAAAGACTCTTTCAGATTGATGCAATTTGTCGACAAGATTGTAATACACGTCATGTCAGTATGTGACAATCCTGAATGGAACCATATTCCCTTAAAAGTTGTGTGTGTGTGTATGTATGTATATATATATATGTATGTATATATATATATATATATATATATATATATATATATATATATATATATATATATATATATATATATATATATATATATATATAGATCCCTGCTTTTGGAACAGACCTAACCGCAGTATGAACAATGGTGTTAAGCATAAATATCACATGGCAACCATGTTGATTACTCGTGCACTAGTAGCTCTACTTTCATCTCATA